AAAAATGCGATGCTCTTTTCTCTACTGCGATTCAACCAGGAAACGTGCCTCTTGAGCTCCCTTAAACCCTTTAAGAGATGTTCCTGTCTTCGTCTTGCATCTGAGAGGGCAAGACTGTCTCCTATCTGGTCATATATTTGTCATTGCAAACCGATGTACTTGTCTGAGGCACAAATATGAAATGTTTAAGTATTTGCAAACTATGTGTCTATAATAAGTGACAACCATTTGGGCTGAAAAAAGGAGGCCACTGTGGAATGGCCACCTGAGGCTCTAAAGTCATTCCCATAGACTGTAAATAAAAAACACAGCCCTCTGGTAAAAACAATTGGAAATGCCTTAAGCCTGCATTCTTTCTAACAGCCAGATCCACCCCTTGCTTGTTTTAAAAGCCAAGGTGGTGGCAGCCAAATTCCAAACTCGAGGCTTCAGAATGGGACCCAAAAAATCAATGAGGGCTCAAGGACTCTACATATATCTTTTATATGTAGACTATAGTCAATCCCAATAGACTCCACAGTCAAAATGTCAACCTTTACAGCAGAAATAAACATGTCTACAGGGTGGTACAAAAATGGCTTTAGTTTCTCCCTTCATGAGGGGGGGATGCCACCACAACAACGGGGTGGTGGATGTTTTATTTCTTATATTTATATGTACATTTTTCTGTCTAGTATGTGTGTATCTCTATGTGTAATGCTGCTAACAACAATGTGAATTTCTCCACTGTCAGATAAATAAAGGCATACTTATCTTATCTTATCTTTTATATAACTCACCCACTTTAACTGTATTAAAGTCTAAAGTTTTGCATAATTCAGGGTGTGGCTACAGGTGGGTGCCTTCATAAAATAGCCCAAGGCTCAGAGCCATTAGCATGGCCCAGCTCAGCTCCATGTCATTTTTTTGGTTAGCTGTAAGTTAGGAGGAGTCAGGCACTGCCAAGATGGCCATGACCACCACAAAGAGCTTCAAAACTGCTCTTCAGGAAACATATAGGTGGTGTCACGGAGGGTTCATCCATGTTTACATACACTCTGTGATCCATAGTCACAGTATCAGTTCACAGCACACGTTTAAGGCTGTTAGTCTTTTGACCCGACTGATTCATTCAACATGCTCGCAGACAAACACACCACATATTCAAATAATGTCCATCCTCATATACGCTGTAACTGCTCATGCCTAAACACACACATACTGACAGTGATGGACACACACACACACACACACACACACACTGAAACCTCATATCGGCTTTGAGACACAGTTCGCCGGCTGGCCCTCGCTGTCCCACACTCTCTGACGGGCTCTTAATGGTAAACTAACAGATTGTAAACATGCTGCTAGCTTTCTCTCTCTCTCTCTCTCTGTTTCTCCCCTCCCTATATTAATCAATCTCTCTCTTTTTTCTCTCTCTCTCTCTCTCGTTCTTTCTTTCTCTGTCACTCTTGTTTCCCCACTCTCCCCTTTCTTCACCTCTTCCTCCTTACCTCTGTTCATCCCTCTTTCCCCATCCCTTCCTCCTTTTTCCTCTCTCTCTCTCTCCACTCTCTCTCTCTCCCTCTCTTTCGCTTTTCCTGGGGTATTTTTTAAACAATGTGTCCTTCATGTACGGTTGGTTACGGGGCGTACAGAAGGACATCATTAGCGCTGGTGGTTAAGCTGTAATTTACACCATTACCGAGGTAGGGGCCATTTTTATTGCCTAGTAAATTTCAGCTCTGAAATATTTAGACCATATGGCTCAATTTGTGTAATAACCTTAATTTCCAAGCACCCTTCAGCTCCCTTCAGCGCCGGCTGTTGTTGGCGGATGGCAGAGTGGTGCGTGTACACGTTCGTATGTGTGTGTGCACGACGTGGACTTGGAGCGCATTCACACACAAACACACGCATGCAAACACGTACGCAGAAACATAGACATGGCAAAAATGTTAACGCGTACGCTAAACATAACCTTTTACACAGTCCCTTCCGCATGCTCACACCGATTCCTTCATTCACACACACAGAAACACACGCACGCACACGTATGTATGCATGGCGGTAGCAGATTAATAGGGTGTCAGCTTCTGTTTGGGTGAGGGAGCGTCAGGCGTCGGCCAGATGGTTCTCAGGGATGATGACTGTCAGGGGTCCTGCTCTGATCAATGGGATGTATTAATACAGCACACACGCACACACACACACACACACTGTTGCATACACACACACACACACACACACACAAACAAAAATGTTATGCATGCACACAGGCACACGCAACCATATTCAGACATATGTATGCACATAGAGTAACACACATTCACACACACACACACAAGCGTGCCCATGGTCTCCCTTCACCAGCGATCCCAAGGGCCACAGTGTAACATCTGGAAGAGCCAAGGGAGGGAGGAAAGGACAGCAGAGTAAAGGAGGAGAAAGAGGGAGGTGGCAGGCAGGGAAATGCAAGAGGTAAGAAGACAAGAAAAAAAAAAAAAACGATCAGTGAAAAGTGCAAGGGAGGAGACAAAAGTGAATGGGAGAGGGAAAGGAAATGCAAAGCTAAGAGGCTATGAGATGGGAGATGGAGGAAAAAGTGAGGTGAAGAAGGGTTAAAGGGTGGAGGAGGTAAAAGAAGGTAGTAAAACTGGAGAGAGAAGAGGGCAGATGGAAGAGAGGAGCTCAGGAAATTAAGAATAAGGGTAGGGTGGCGGGGGATGTCGAGAGACTGGTGAGTGAGAAGAAAACAGGGCATAGGAGAGAGGGCAGCAGGGACCGACGAAGACGAGGAGGAAAACCTGCAGGAAGAGGTGGAAGACTAGACAGGTAGAGGAGGATGGGATCATGAAAAAAATAAAGAAAGGATGAAACACAGAACAGAGGAGAAGGTTGTGGGAAGTTGGCTTCAGCAGGTGCACTATTCAAAAGAAGAATCTTAGCTGCGTCGTAAACCCTTGTCCACAACAAGTCAAAAGAAAAAAGGAGCAAAACACAAAGAAGAACAAATTTGAGGGGAGAAAAAAAAGGGGGGAAAAAAAATAAGGAAGCAAAACATGATGCAGAGGATAAGTAAGGGAACCATGGCGCAAGAAAGGCAACTTGACAGGGTTGTGTGAGTGACTAACATGTCTGTCAGAAAGGTGTAAGGCATGGAGAGTGAATTTGTGTGTGTGTGTGAGACGGTGTGAGTGCCAGGCGGCATGTAGGGGTCTAGTGAGGCAGGCCGCCTGCGCTTCGTACCCTCATTCCGTCCGATTGCCATGACGACCCCATTAATCAGCCAAGCTGGCACAGAGCAGGGTTCCCAGCCCAGCCTGAGATCAATACACACACAAATACACACATACCAAACGGACACACACGTACGCACAAACAATACATCTACAAAACTGAGAAACTTTTGGTGGAGAAAAAAAAAAAAAAAAAGGGCGGATTAGTGAAGGGAAAAAAGTTCACTAAGTTATGTTGAAGAAGTGAGGATAAAACACGTAAGAGAAAAGGACAACGGTTGTAATTGGTCAATCAGAGAAAAAACAAAAATCATGTGGTTTACAATCTATATTCTATAGTACATCTACTTAAGCACTTATTTTGCCCTTGAAGCTTTAGTTAATGACCATCCTGAGCAAGAGGGATGCTACCTTACACAGAGACACATATTTTACAGAATCCTTCACTCCTTTCCAAATTGGCTCAGCGCTTTGCTTCTCATTTTCACTTTCCTTGTGTATTCCTAAACAACGTAGTGAATGTGGCGAAGGCAACTGCGTGACAAATGACCGTCACCAAAATAAGTCTATGCCATGTCAATGAGCCTCTCTCACACACACACACAATTACACACACACACACACACAAACACAGAGTGCTCCATATCAATGAGAAGGTGAAAGGTCTCCATTTACATCTTGTATTAATTATGAGTGACAAGCCAAAGGTCACAGAGGGAGAAGAGGCCACACATATGGACAGAATATAGATCTATACTTCTACCTCTTCTCTCTCTTTCACTCACCTCCCTCCTTCCCCCATCTATCCCTCGCTCTCACCCCCCCTCCTGTTCTTTCTCATCTCTTTCTCACCTTCTCCAGCAACTCTATTGTTCTTTGTTCTGCCAATCTGCCTCCTCGTCTTTTGCTTTTCCCCCCATCATTCTTCTAAGAACCTGTATATTGATGTGTTTATCTCCATACCTCTTCTTTTTCTCTTTTTCTTTGAATCTTTTCTATCCTGTTTGATCATGTGTTTGGTTCTTCGTCTCTGTTTTCTGATTTTGTCATGCAGAGACAAACCTCATTTTATAAAAATGGAAGTAGTAGAAGAATAAAACAACACTAACTTTCAGGTATAAATAGAGCACATATAGCTGTGCAGCGGTGTGCAGACGAAAAGCCACTGCTGGTGAATATCTCATTGCAGGTTTGAGCGAACTTTGCCTGCTGACTGAGCTGCAAACTCACACTGAAGCTAGATGACAGTAGTACAGTGTATATGTGTATAAATGTTACATATGTGAATGAGTGTGAGGGTCTGTTATATGTATATGTGCGTCTATATGTGTTTGGCTGGAGTGGAGTTACTTATATTGTTGTTATTCTCTGTGTTAGAGTACCAGGCGTGGCACAGAATTGTGGGAAAAGGCCCCTGGAGAATAGCAGGCCATGGGCAGTGTGTGTGTGTGTGTGTGTGTGTGTATATGAGAGTGTGTGTCTTTGGGCCCCTCGCTGGCAAACAGATGGCACCAGAACCACAGGTAGAGTCTAAATTTCTTCACATGCATCTCAAATGACAATACACACACATACACACACCCACACCCACACACACTTTATGTTGTGTATAATATTATAGTGTTATGTTATGTATCAATACATAGAAACCCCTGATCATATCTGCTGATATCAGGTACAAAAGTATGTGATTATGGATGCAACTCACTGAAAAATGTGTGCTTCCATCATCTAGTATAGACTGTGTGTGTGTGTGTGTGTGTGTGTGTGTGGTGCTTTTACCTCTACAGTGAGAGCTGTAACAGTGCTTGAGTTGAGCGTTGGGTCCTGTTGCAGCTTCTTGTAAACCAACCTATAATGGGAAACAAGACCGTTGGGCTGTCCCGGTTCACTCCATTTCAGGTGGACTGAGTAGGCACCTGTCAAAGTGCACAGGATGTGTTACAGTCAATACAAGAACATTTTAAGCATATCAGCTTTTATGGGACTTGGTGAACTTACCGGAGGGTGTAACAATGGGAGGGGCCATATCTTGTGGCTTTGCCTGTAAGGTCTGAGCTAAAGTCCACTGACTCAGAATTGAACCTTTAGAGTTGTGGGCACGAATCCTGTACTGGAAGTAGCTGAAAGGTTGCAGGGCGGGGCTTGCATCAAAAAACTCAAGCGGCCCGCTGGACCAGATGTAAACCAGCAGCTCCTCATCTGTTCCAAATGGACGTCTGTGGTAAAATAAATTCTTAGATTAGCTTTGCATCATTGTTTATTTCAGATACCTCAAACTTATTAAGGATATTCTATGAAAGCTAGTTTCATACACGTTCATATACTTAAATATAATATACTATTTTTTGTATATATTTAAAAAAATGGGCTGCAAGGTGGCTCAGTGGTTGGCATTGTCACCTCGCAGCTAGAAGATCCCCGGTTCGCATCCCAGTTAGGACGCCTGGGATCTTTCTGCGTGGAGTTTGCATGTTCTCCCTGTGCAGCGTGGGTTCTCTCTGGGTTCTCTTTCTTGTTGAGGTTAATTGGTGATTCTAAATTGTCCGTAGGTGTGAATGTGAGTGTGCTTGGTTGTTTGTCTCTAAGTGTAGCCCTGCGATAGACTGGCGAGCTGTCCAGGGTGTCCCCTGCCTTCCCCCTAAGTCAGCTGGGATAGACTCCAGCCCCCCCGCGAGTGAGGATTAAGCGGTGTATAGATAATGGATGGATGGAATTAAAAAAACCCTTGCTGGTCAAAATGAAGTTTTTTTTTTTTATTTTTTTACCTTGTTGATATGTCTCTATGATGTTTTTTTTATACAGTGGAAGATACACTATTAGCAAAAACAAGCAGTCAACAGCATGGATGAGCATTTCCACACTGAAATTGCAGCATACCAATGCCACTACAGCATGGCTTCAGCTAGCCAGGGTTTCATGAGTAAGATACCTTAGGAACCAAGACTGTCAACTTGCGGGGTGGGGCATTTTCATATATATATATGTATATGGGCTTTTTTGGCCTTTATTTTAGAGCAGTAGAGATAGATAAGGAAAGGGGAGAGAAGAATGGGGAGAGACCTGCAGCAAAGGGTCGTGAGCTGGAGTCGAACACACGACCGCTGCGTTGGGGACATATAGCCCCTGTTCATGGGTCGCCTGCTTAACTAAGTGAGCTATTGGGGCGCCCCATGCAAAGTGCTTTCGACAGTGGTTAAGCAGTCATAGGTGAGCTGGTGTGCTTGACTTGCAGTGAATTGTGGAGGGGTGTAGCGAGAGACAGCAAGAGAATGAGGGACTTCATAGATCTGCACACAATCTGCACAAGAAAGCAGTTGTGCAGAGTTACTGTAAATGCCGGATACATTGCATTGATATTTTCCTACACAGTATTGTTTTTATGTGTTTATAAGACATCATAGTTCTACATTGCCACCTTGTG